CACGTCTGCGAATTTAAACTTCATAAAAGTTGTTTTGGTTTTAATATCGAATTCTCCATAATTCAGCTACGCAGATTTCGAAAATAATGGTCATTTTTTTTTCTATCACGTAAGGATTTTTTACAAATCGGGAAGAAGAAAAAACTCTTACCACAATAAACATTTTTTATTATTATGTTGTTAACAAAAATACAAACAAACTGGAGAAAAGGGAACAACATTGATCTCAAACGAACATACATCCTCATTCATCCTGATATTTTTGTAAAATTTACGTCTTATAGTCTCAAAACTACGTGTTGGGGACTTTCTTTTATGTATTGTGTTATGACGTTTTGTGAAACATCTGTACGCTATGGAGAAAAATGGATATCATTTTCGGATTCGGCGTATAGGAATTACTGTAGAACATGTAAAGATTTCAAGAAAATAAAACCATGTTCAAAGTTTCATCTAACTTCATTTATAAGATCCATTGAATTAATATTACGTCCTATTTACACACTTTTCAGTTCAGACACATTTTACACATTATATTGGTGGATGTATTGTGGATATTTATAGAGATTATTTGCTTTCTAAACGTTGTGACCAATTTATAGAATTAAACTATTTCGGTTTGTCAATATATTTGACAAGTTCATGAGATTAATTTATCCGTAAGCAAATTATCAGGCCTCATATTTATGTAATTCCGTTAAAATCACATTCTTACCCAACTTTGTTTTTAATTATTTTATGCCTTATTGCTGAAAAGTTTGGTCATATCCAAGGAGGATAAAATAAATATATGTCTCCAAATTTAAGCAAAGTTCTAACGTTAATAATTTACTTTCATTAAAATTGTGTTTTCCCATGATTTATTTTTTGTATAAATAGTTCGACAATATACATATTTTTAAAAACTCAGAGTATCGATGAGCAATTAGATCTATCATGTGTTTTTTGTCATTAACAAATAATAAGTAACAAAATCTAAACTACGGAAATTGCATCAATCTTTTCTTTTATACGGGATCTAACAGGATTTGTTCCATAAAAAAACAAACATTGAGACAGATAATCTCTTTCTGTGCAACAAGAAGCGAAGAAGCTCATAAAAAGAAAGTGTGTTCACCACCTCAAAAGATTGCATGTTTATCTATGTATGAAAGGCACTTTTAATCTAATTAACTCTGTAGATTTAACTCATATGGTACACTTTATTTTAGCTAACACAAGTTATAAATAACTAATAAAAATATTAGAATTAATAAAAATACATGCTTTTAAAGCCATTAATTTGTTAGAATTTCTTGAAGCATCTTTTTCGTTTTCATTGTTATTTTTGTTCTCATTACCCACCCATAAAGTGAGGATGTAACATAAAAACTAGTCATACACCAAACGTTGCTCCATAACGTTATGCATACTGCAACAACAACAATAAAAAATTACACTGGAATCAACACCAGGAAAGATAATCATGAAATGTACTACTAAAACTAATGCATACAGTCATTTCCAGAAATAACACTGATATAACAGAAGCAATCAAATTATATCATCATTGCAGTAACAAGTTGAAAATGCAACCATTAAGATAATTCTGAACCGACGGTCCATTATCCTCATATATCATGTAGGAATCATTCAAACAATTCTAGATCAACGTAAAATAATAATTAAAAGATTTGCCATTTACGTTGAGCCTTATTAAAAGCTAAATTTTCAGTTTCATATTTTCAGTTATGAAAATAACATCTAAAAGTAAAATTTAAAAAAGTGTTTTTATGAGATGAATTGAACAAAGCTATATTTGAGGTGTTTTAAATATATTTTTATGTTTCTCAACCAGACACACCCTATGAATATTTTTAGTAGTAATTCCAATGTGATTTCTACCGATTTTATTATGTGCTTCTAAAATGTTAAGTTTAGGATGCGCCTTATATGAATATATTTCAAAATCAACTAGGCATTGCTTGATGTGGTTAAAAAAATGCCATTTTTACAAAACTAAAACTATGGATGAAAATTAAATAACCTAATTCCTTTTCTAATTATAAATAGGAGTTCCGAGGCGTAATAACCATATTGAACTTTGCAGGAGCTCATTTCAAATAGTGGTTTTGATAACTTACGTGATGCTATGTATCATACCTTTTGATGAATATTAGAGTGTACTGTTTTAATCTGTAAATGTTTTTCGTTTTGTAAATAAGAAAAAGTAGCTTGAATTACAAACATTAATATACAGTTGAAAAGCAAGTGTTATTTATTTTGAAACATTATTTTATTTTATTACTAGCTGGAGTACCCATCCCATGGACGGAAGTGATGTAAATTCATGATTAATGAAAGTTTATCTTAGGACATGAAAAGTTGCTTCCCTTATATGTAATTGTAAAAAGCGCAAAAAACGCCCCAAAAAACTGTAAAACACAAAATGTGAAACCGCAAATTGACGTGTATCTCCGCACGACCCAACAAACCTTCATGCCTAATTTGGTGAAGATTCATCCAAAGGAGTTTAGGTTGTGGTAGAAAACACAAAAACGTCCATAAAAACCGCAAAAGGCAAAATTCAAAACTGAACATTTGTATGTACTCCCACATGGACCTAATGAACCTCCATACCAATTTTGGTGAAGATCCATCTAAGCCTGCGAAGTAGCTACATGGACATACAACAGGCAGTACTATTATATTTATTTAGACAATACTGGCCCCTCAGTGGCACAGCGGCATGTCTGTGGACTTATGCCGCTAGAAACCGGGTTTCGATACCCGTGGTGGGCAGAGCCCTTTGTGCTTAAGAACAACATAGATAATATTGAACTATATATATATATAACTCTCTGTCAATACGAAATCCCTTACAATGAATAGCTAAATGTTTTATTTTGGAACTTTATCCGTTCTGATCACTCCCCTAGGTATGTGATAAAGAGTAGGATCCTTCAAAATATTCCATGCCTTCAGGTGTGGACGTTTATCTATTGCGTTTATAGCAAAAAATATGTTTGAGGTTGCCAGACTTTTCAGTGAGATAAGAACTTATATTTTTCTTTACTTTCCGTTATTATATTTTTGGAATACAAAAACCACAAGATGAAAAGCCACACGCTTGAGCAGGCTTTAAGTTAAGGTCCTTCATAAAACAACAGGCTTGGTTTTAAACATAAATTGACAAACATTAAGAAGCAATACATGTATTTTTGACAATATTCATCAATCAAAAATCAACAATCTTGACATTTTTATTAACCACAGATTCTTAGACTTTCCTGTATACCAAAATTTAATAATCTGTATAATGAAGCAAAATTCATAACCGCTTTAAAAAGCGCTTGCACAAACTACAGTTTGCGTGTACCATTTTTATTTATAAATACTTCTCTAATTTTATTTATCTATATAAATTTATCATCCAATTTGTGCTTGTGTGCGTTTATTAATTTTAATTCACACTCATGTTGTGTACACGTACATTTATCCACTTGTGCGTACGTCTACACTGTATCTATTTTAGTTTTATTTAAATCTATCTATTTGTCTGTCTGTCTATCTATCTATGCGCATAGAACGTACACTGAGTACAGATTAAATAAGTTACTTCACTTAATAAACTTCTATTATAAACGGAAATTTTGAATGAGTATAAAACTGATTTCCCGCAATTATAATCCTTAAATTTATGCATAGAATCAGCTGTAGCATATATTCACACCACTACAGATTCTTCTGTAAAACAATGTGTAAAACTAATACTTAAGACCCTCAACCCCAAGATGCTCTCGTTCTCAAACAAGCTTTCTTTCATCCAACCACAAGCAGCTTTCTGTAGTTGTCATGACAACCTGAACGCATTTACTAAACGGACAGCGTTAAGGAACTGGCCCTCTTGACGTGAGCACCAGATCATACTTCCGTGACCACAACAACTAACCATTCAGCCACCAAACCGCATCGGATAAGTCTTTAACCCAGAAAGTCACACGATTCCTTCAACCGTTGGGTTCCCAAGGGACTTTTTATTTTTATATTAACTTGAAATAACTTGTTCTGATATTAAGTAAGTGGGAAAAAAAGATTTTAATTTGTAGTAAGTAAAACCATAAATATTAGAGTTTCAATCGATAGAAACGCAGTTACAGTTTACGTCAAACACTACAGAGGTAGATATGGAAAGTCCTTCAAAATGTAAATCTCCGTCTTGCAAGCTACATCAGCTCGTGCTTCTTATCTCGAACAGTTACAGCTAGCGACCATTAATAAATTAAATGGCTTCTACGCTGTCACCATTCTTAGATGCAGAGCAGGAGCAGACGTGGGAAGATAACTTTCATGACAAATACAAGTTTTATTTGAAAAATTTCACAGAAAATGGAACAAATCAGACTTTTGAAGATTTGCCAAATCCTTCCTATTATTCTCTGTACTACCGTATTATTGGAACTGTCTTTCAAGGTTTTATTTTTGTGATAGGAGTTTTAGGAAACATTATGGTGGTACTTGTTGTTCTTCGAACCCGCAGCATGCACTCTCCAACCAACTGTTACCTGGTTAGTCTTTCTATTGCTGACCTGATGGTTCTGATATCGTCAGTGCCCAATGAAATCTTATCATATTTTTTACTTAGTGACGAATGGATTTGGGGAAGAGTAGGATGTGCGCTCTTCATCTTTCTCCAGTATTTAGGAATCAACGCCTCATCCTTGTCTATCACGGCCTTTACTGTTGAACGATATATCGCTATTTGTCACCCGATGCGAGCCCAGATGGTCTGTACTGTAAGCAGAGCCAAGAAGATCATTGTTGGAGTCTGGGTGTTTGCTTGTCTTTACTGCTTCCCTTGGTTCTTTCTCACCAAGATAGAACCCATCTTCTACAAAGGTTATAGCAACAGAGAAACCTGCACTTTTGCGTTGTCAAGGAAACATTATCTGGGCTACTTCTTTTCTGATCTGGTTCTCTTTTATGTCTTTCCTCTTCTGCTGTCCTGTGTACTTTACAGTTTAATCGCAAGGATCCTCTTCTCTAACGAAATCCCCAAGAATCCCGGAAACAACACTAGTCGTAGTTCAGACTCCAAACGAACCAGTAGCATGAACGCCAGAGTACAGGTAGAGAATAGATATTAAATATTTTGGTATATGTTTATACTTTATACTGGATAAGCTTAATACTTTATATTTAAATTAATATATGTATATATATATAGTCAATATAAAAGCCAGTGTGTGTTACGTCACGCTTCATTTCTCGAAATAGGAGGAGTCATGAAAGCCAAAATGCATTTATCCAGATAGGATAGTTCGATTACATTCTGCCCATTGCGATTTTAGTGATGGGGGTGAAAAGGTGCTGTGAAACCTTATAGGTGTAGTTGGTGTTGGTATAATAAGCCTAAAGTAAGGACGTAATGTGGGATCGCCTAGCCTAGAGTCAGGTGCATAAAATTTATCATGAAAGTAAAAATATCGATTCAATTTTAAACTTAAATTGTTTTTGAATTAAGCTGTTTTCTGTTATATCACCAACGTTTTTAATAAAAAACGAACCACTTTAATCAACAGAGACTCTAAATTAAGAAATCAACAAGTATTTTTTCAGTTTTGTTCTTTATACATTTCATTTTTATCTTTCAGTACATAGACTAGCAACAATATCAGGTTATACTCTTGTTCCTAAGCGATATAACATAAAAGTCATTCTTGACACGTACTGTTACCACTGGCTTTTCTATATATTATAAGTTGTTAATCTAACTGATTTTTACCAATAATCATTTTCTGAATACCCCACGAATTAATTTCATGAATGATAATAATTTTGATTGGCTCACAAAGGAATTTACCGATGTTTGACTGCCTCACTGCACTTTTCTGGTTATTTGTTGATTAAACCTGATTTCGCAAAATTTGTTTAATTTAGTTTACTATGAAATGTGAGGTTAGGTTATACTATGGGGTGGGGGTGGTTTTATTTGCCGCGTCATTTTTGACGAGCTATACGCTAGTATATATATATACCTTAACATGTTTTGTCTACAGATATCTATATAAATTCACATAATAACAGAGAAACATAAACCAGTTAAGCGCTTATTAGACCCATAGGATATACTTTTTAAAATAATTTTTAATTGCTTTTATTATACTTAAACCGTTCCCTTTTAATATTTTTTTTGTATAATGAACAATAAATCTTACACTTTACATAGGACCAAGTTAAATAGTGCAGAACTTTACGAGTATTATTACAATAAAATCAAAATAATTTGAAACTCGGTTTAGCAGAACGCAAGTCTTGTGAAGCTACCCTGTTGTCTACTTTATATAGTATTTTATTCACATTATTTCTTCAACAAACTCTAAACCTGAAGATTTATTATTTGCGTCCCATTGTTGCAAAAACGCGCTTCACCCTTTTGGGCCTTGGGTGCGCTATACAAGCGACGATCAAACACCACTAGTCAGTTAGATAAAAGTAGCCTAAAAGTTGACGTTGGATGCATTTGATTAGCTGTTAGTTTAAAGTTAAGGACAACGATATGCAGATAGACTTTGTGTAGCTTTGGGCGAAAAGTCTAAGACAATCAAAGAGCAACGAACGAGTTATTGTAAGATCATTAGGACTGATCATGTTTTTTCCTCAGAAAGAACGCTAGTTCTATTTTACTGACATAATCTCTTAACAAAGCTAAATCTCAAGGGAAAAAAAATCAAACATACGAAATACAATTTGTTTGAAAATGGTGTCAGGTGATGTTGATTACCCTGTATTATACTGTATATAAAAAATGTTAGTTGTTAAGCGTAAAGCTGTTCGATGGGCTATCTGTGCTGTACCCACCACGGGTATCGAAAACCGTTTTTTAGCGTTATAAGCCTTCCGAACGTACTCCTGAGCCACTATATACATACTATATACGGTCACTATATAAATGTGTAAATAATATTTAATATTTAAGATCCATGTCCAAGTAATGTGTTTCTTCTATACTCTGCTGATGTAGAAATCATAACACTTAATGAAAAATCTACACGATATGTCAAGACATTTAAAATCGATTTATTGATATGCCATGTCAACTAAGTGCACTTAGATCATATTATCAACTAATTACAAAAACACATAGCAAAATTATTTTCCAGCTACAACACATTAATGTTTCAAGAACATGAACAAACTTACATGGATAGGATCAGTTCTCGAGCAAATTGTAGAAATATCACAATAGTCTCTTTGATTCGAAATTAAAACCAATTTTTCTAAATCAGAGAGATCTTTGTGACACATGGACTAATACTATCACTAAATGAAAACCATATTGCCAGGAACTTGATCTTAACCAAGTAAATTAAAAGTTTTTTGCCAAGAAGGAAAATTCGCAATTCGAGTTTGTGAAATGAGTTTTAATAGAGTCGAATCCATTCATCTAAAATACATGAATAATAAGATAAAATAAGATGTTTATTGCAACAAATAAAAAGTGTCTAAAAAGACGTTCAGGATTAAAAACATTTAACATTACAAATACTCTAACTTAAATGTCGGCATATTAAATCTAAAGAACCTTATACTTCCAAGCTTTACGAACTGACACAGAACTCTACCTGTTGTGTTTTGTTGTTGTTGCTTTTTGCGATTAACCTTATTTTATTATTTTTATAAAATTTCTGCACCACAAAAATACCTAATATCAAACAGTTTTATAAGTTTCTCAGAAAACACATTTTACTTAACTTAAGATCAATAGAATAATCAGAATGAACTTCAAGCAGACTTACTTCATACATTTTGGCGTTATGTGGCGTTGGTAGTAAATAAAACTGTGGCTCATTATTTTGAAACATGTTATATTGTAAGTATGCCGTATGTTTAGTAGGGTACATAAGCAAAGAGTATTCGAGATATAGCGAAGTGAACAACTTTAAGAACTGATCAAAACTAGTCGTGTTAATAGCTTCTTTCTTGGCCTGCATCAGCTATTATATTCCTGTAATACGTTATGGAACGTGTCATCGTAGGAAAGAAAAATATACTGATTTCAGGCTTAAAGTTTTTGGTAAAAGTCAAAAGAGAAAACATTAAAAGTTAATTTAAATTACACCCATCGTTTAATGCTTACATTCCAAATGAAAAATGTTCTCAGCTATAAGTTAACTTTGATTTTTCAATTCACACCTAAAAAAATTATTAGGTAAATCTTTATAATTTTCTTTTATTATTTTACATCACGTTACTTTAATATAATAACCTCTAAATCTCGGATATACCAGTAAACGCATCTTATAATTATCAAATGAATTGCTTGAGTCTTGGAGGAACCCAAACGATTGAATATCAGTTAGTTTAAATGATCCTCTCAGACTAGATGGTTACTTCGTGGAATTAAGTTACTGGTCACCCGATGACTTCATATTCCCAAGAGAAAAACTAAAAAATAGTAACGAAGAAGTTCCAGTAAAAGTTGTCAGAGAATTGGTGTTTATTTCAACTGAACGTCCACAAAAAAAACAAAATGGAACAAAACAGAGACATGAGTGTTTATTACTTTTCATCATTATACTAATATATTTTGTGGTTTGTAATGAGAGTAAGAAGAATTCAAAGGTAATACTATTGAATGAATGGAATACAATCGAACAATTTCAGATACGATCAAATGAAAGAAGTCAATTTTTAACATTTTGTGGGGTCTAAGCAATGCTAAGTCCAGGCTATTGAGTCCAGAAATTGGTTGGATGTCTTAATAAATCAGCCATTCAGTGTTATAGTAAATCATGCATATCTCTTATCTAAAATGAAAATGTTGAGTTTTACGATTTCCTGATAGCTTTATGTTTATTCGCCTTTGTTAAAACAAAACAAAAAGTGCGGAAAAAATATCGTTGTAATGTTACCAACAAAAGCTGTTTCCCTACAAACTAAAAAAGTCTGAGCTAGCTATTACAAAGCGGAATATTCTGAAACAAAGAAAGATAACATGAGTTTTACCTCCGAGAATGAAAAATTATTGATATTATGGGGCTTATCAGCTTGTATTCATTTTACATTTTATCACTTCTAATCAAATGGTGTAGTATTCGGACGACTGGAAAGCGTAGACAGTCACTCACAAAAGATGCTCTGGAAACACCTCCTTCAGAGGTGTGGTTGAGAATAAATCAGAACCTTATCAATACCCTAATTTTAAGTTACTATCATTGGTGTCAGAATGCTTTCAATGTGACCCTACTTCATATTGAAGTAAAATGCCATGAATTTTTAAAGCGTAGATTGCATGGCAAATCATTTGCACTATAGATCTCATGATGGACAATTAGATTCTTGATTTTCATAACAAAAAAACAGGGTGATTTATTAGCATTATTTTAAAGCATGGGTTTTGCCTTGGTTTTTGCTTTGGGTTTTGAGAAAATATTATAAATTACAGTTATTACTGTACTGTGTCATTTATTTTCTCGATAACATGCCGGACATGGCCTTACGGCTAGAGAGTTTGTGATTTCTAACCAATTGCCTCTGAAACGCGCTCCGCACTTTGGAGCCATGGGTGAGCTCAAAGAGTGACGGTCAAATCTCACTATTCGGTAGACAAAGTATTCTAGTGCAAAAACATTGGGATGACTATGTGCACATAGCTTTTGTGTACACTTGCGCGAAATTTCTTAAACAAACAAGCACTCCCCAATTACATTGTCTTTACTAATCGTAACGACATATTGCGTGAATGAATGACATTGATTTAGTTATTTCCTGTGAGAGTGTCTATCCTCTTCCTGCTCACATTATTGAATAATTATAAATAATCCAAATTCAACACCTTAGTCCCTTGGAAACATTATGAAGAAGTAAACGTTCCTAGGGTTATAAAAATCAACTGTGGTAAGTGAATTGTTAGATAACGTTGAACTCTATAATCATCTAACTGGTCTACATGCGTTACTCCATAATTATTCTTTGTAGTAATCTACAAGTTTAATATTAGATCACTGTAGAAATCTTCCATTCATATCTTCAGTGGAAATATATCACTGAATGTAAATGATGTTCTTAAACAGTTTTCACCTTATTTAGTATAATAATCTTTATTTTTCAAAGTGTTTGCTTAGAA